GGATGGTGCTCCCCCCTCTGCTGTGGCTTAAAGGGCCCCCCTGTCCCGATCCCGAAGGAGGGACACTGGTGAGGCCAGCTGTTCTGTGGCACCTCGGTGGTGCTTGTGGAGGGAGCCGGCGGCCCTCTAGGGAGCTGGGTGGGAATGGCCCAGGCAGCCCCTTTTGCCCCCATGGTGTGCCACGTTCCTCCCCGCTCCCCACATGCACACCACCAGATCTCATCAGTGTATATATGTTTTAATATCTCTCTGCAGGTCTTGGCCTCCCAGGGAGCACCTCATGGCCCCAGCGCAGCCCCTGACAGCCCCCCAAGAGAAGGAGGATGAGGAGGTTGGGGGGCTTCTGATGCTGGAACGAAGCTGGCGGCCCTGGCCCAGAACACGGAGGAAGGTGAGAGGTAAGAGGAGGGCCCTGCGGACGGAGGGGGGGCAGGGAGGGGGGAGGGGAAGGGTGTCCCAGTGACAAGCAGCCCCCCCCCACTTGCCCCCCTCACCCGCCGGCCTGACTGGGGCCTTTCCGCTGCTGCTCCCTCCAGGTTGCCTCACGTGCCTCAAGCGCCAGCTCTTCCGCGTGGGCGACGACTGGTACTTCCTTTTCGCCCTGGGCGTCATTATGGCCCTGGTCAGCTTTGCCATGGATTTCACCGTCGCCAAAATGTCCAACGGTAACCACCTCGCCCTTGAGCCTCTCCCGGCCGGGCCCCGGGCCCCGATCTGACTTGGATTCCTCATGCCCCTGAGGCCTGACTCCCAGAGCCGTGCTTCCCAACCTTGGGCCCCCAGATAGGAGTGGACGACGACACCTTCCGGAAGCCTTCACGGCCAGGTGTGCAGGCTGGGCTTTTGGGGCGTTGTAGTCCAGGGACCTCTGGGGGCCCCAAGGTGAGCCTGGGTGACGCGGCCTTCCTTCCGCTCTTGGGTGTAGGTCTAGTGGGGTTGGGTGCACAACATGGAGCAGGGAGTATAAGCTCAGCAGGACGGTGGAACTGGGTGGGGGTCCTTGCCCAGGCTCCCCCAGCCGGTAGGGCCCAAAAAGTGGATGTTCTGAGCCCTCCCTCAGAGCTCTAGTCTTGGAGAGGCTGTTTATTATACTCGGTGACGAGTCGCTCTTGAGCGGTTGTATTTCTTCAAAGCCTTCCTCAGAAACCAAGCTTTCCCGCCAGGCCCTTAAAGGAGTTAGGGTGGGAAGCGCTCTCTGCCCTGCCAGCCTCCCCGAGAGCCAAGAGAGGTCTCGGGGTCTCCATGGCTTCCTCTCTGTGCTCTGGCTTCCACAGCCCACATGTGGCTTTACCAAGAGGTGGGGGACTACGTCGTGCTGAAGTTCCTCTCCTGGACCATGTACCCCGTTGCGCTCTCAGCTTTCTCCACCGGCTTTGCACAGAGCATCACCCCACACTCGGGAGGTGAGTCTGGAGGGACCGGGGGGGGGTCAGCAACGGCCAGCCACCATGCTCAGCCACTCTGGCTTCCACAGCCCACATGTGGCTTTACCAAGAGGTGGGGGACTACGTCGTGCTGAAGTTCCTCTCCTGGACCATGTACCCCGTTGCGCTCTCAGCTTTCTCCACCGGCTTTGCACAGAGCATCACCCCACACTCGGGAGGTGAGTCTGGAGGGACCGGGGGGGGGTCAGCAACGGCCAGCCACCATGCTCAGCCAGGGGACCCCAATCTCTGTCCAGAAGCAGAAGCCCCATGGATTTGTACTGTTTCACAGCAGTGGCCAAGGCTGGAGTGCCAGAAGCCCCAGGGACCAGGGAAGATCCTTTTTGAACCTTCCCCTTTTAGAGTTTAGAAAGGAACGTGCGGAAGTTACTCCTTACAAAGTTTTCAACCAGTAACTTCACAATCCTTGTTCCTTCTTTTATTTTCTTTAAGAAAGGAAAATTGGCCCGTGAGTCTTCCTGTCTGTGGAAGCCCCTGCGGGCAGCTGGGAAGCGGGGAGGGCAGAGGTGTGGGAGGAATGGGGAGCCAGGGCAAGGGAGATCCTCTCCAGAGGAGAGGATGACTCCAGGGCCGCTCCCCCCCCACCCCCCACCCCCGGACCTCCTGCTTTCTCTCGGCCAGGGTCTGGCATCCCAGAGCTGAAGACGATCCTCACCGGGGTGATGCTGGAGGAGTACCTGGCCATCGAGAACTTTGGGGCCAAAGTGGTGGGCCTGACCTGCACCCTGGCCTGCGGGAGCACCATCTTCCTCGGGAAAGTGGTAAGGGGCCCAGCCACCAGCCGAGCCGCAGAGAACGTCATCAGGGAAAGGGTGGCCCATGGCCAGTCGTTTATGCTCCTCTGTGGCTGATGGGAGTCCGAGCTCCAGAAGCAAGGAGTTACAGTGGGGTCTCTACTTAAGAACTTAATCCATATTGGAAGCACCATCTTCCTCGGGAAAGTGGTAAGGGGCCCAGCCGCGGAGAACGTCATCAGGGAAAGGGTGGCCCATGGCCAGTCGTTTATGCTCCTCTGTGGCTGATGGGAGTCGGAGCTCCAGAAGCAAGGAGTTACACATTCCCCAGCGCAGCAGAGAGCAGACACGGAAAGCATCAGGGTGGCGCTTCAGGGAAGACGGAGGGATAAGAGCCTTCTTCCTCTTTTGGCTAAG